TCTTGCCTTTCAACATGACTTTGGCCTGCTGTCAACATTCTATTCTGTAAAGTGAGTGTGGGGATTGTCCACAGTACTGAGTATGTAAGTCGCCTTGGATAGAAGCCTGTGGGCAATCCCCACAGGAGCAATTTGGGGTTTGAACCTGTGCTCCCCTGATCCCAACACCAACGCACTATCCACTGCGCCACACGCCTCCATAAACATTTGGGATAATGTGAGCACACAACTCAAGTAATTACATGAGGTTTTATATTGAAAAACTGTGAAATGCAGCGATTTATTTTCATAGATTCGTATTTATTTTTTTGGAAATGTACGACAGCATGTTCCTGATATTGATATTTACGAGTGCTCCCATTAGGCATCATCTTGTGGTCTGTAGACGTTTTAATGCAGTGACATGTTGAGAGATGTTGGAGGCGTGTTATCTCTGAGTCAGATGCAGATGATACCATTCTTTCTTTTTTCTGCAGCGTCCGGTTTCACAGCAGATCTAAGTTTAGCCGCTCGCTGCCGTGCAGAAAAACACTTTCTGAACCGCTGCTAGTTTTAATAACTCAATACTTCACCTCCACTGAGAGCGGCCGGCGTGAGAGTCAGTTCGTAGAAAGAGATTTGAGTCAGTTTGTAATCAGAGGATTTAATGCAGAACCTGTCACTACAGCACTTTTTAATTGAACGTAGAGATTAAAAGTGTGTCAGCTGCTCCCTCCTGTGGTCAAACTAAGCTACTTTTCTTTCCATGCATTTGTTTACTGAGTGCTTTTAATGTTGTTTTTGTTTACATCCACAGTCGCAAGCAGTGTGTTTGAGTTTGTTCAATTATAGCCTGAATTTAGAGCCTTATGAAAACACTCCTACGGAAGAGGATTAGGGACAAATGGGAATTCTTTTTGTGAGTTCTGGGAAAAAGTCACTTTTGATCAGATCCCCAAAAATGTTTACGTTGCTCAAAAAATGTTCAGAATTATTATTTTTTTATCCCGGAAAACAAATATTTCTTATTTTTCGCTGTAAACCTTTTTCAGAAAAAATAAATTAAACAATTTTCTGAAATAAAAATTAAAAAAAATATTTCTTGAGTTCTGAGAAAAAAGTTAGAAATTGGACTTTAGATTTGTTTTGGATGTTTTTACTTTCACTTCTTGTGTTTATAAACATTTTTATGTTATCTTATTTTGTTTAACTTCTTACGTTTGTAAAATAAAAATATATAGTTGTATTATTTATTTCATTCTAAAATGGAGTAATTGTTAAATAAAGTGTTTAAAGAGCTTTAAACCTCTAAGAGTTTCAGATGGTTTCTAAATATCAGAAGCATTAAGTAAAGCTGGTTCTTCTGTTTGTGTTGCAGTGAACGAGATCATCGACAGAGACATCAGCGGACTTCAGTTCACGGACCAGCAGCCGTACCGCAGAGACTGAAACTCACGAGCCTCAAGTGCCTGAAAACCATAGAGAAACACCGAGACGCCTCGTTAGGAAACACCGAGACGCCTCGTTAGGAAACATCGAGACGCCTCGTTAGGAAACACAGAGACGCCTCGTTAGGAAACACCGAGACGCCTCGTTAGGAAACACCGAGACGCCTCGTTAGGAAACACAGAGACGCCTCGTTAGGAAACACCGAGACGCCTCGTTAGGAAACACAGAGATGCCTCGTTAGGAAACACCGAGACGCCTCGTTAGGAAACACCGAGACGCCTCGTTAGGAAACACAGAGATGCCTCGTTAGGAAACACCGAGACGCCTCGTTAGGAAACACCGAGACGCCTCGTTAGGAAACACAGAGACGCCTCGTTAGGAAACACCGAGACGCCTCGTTAGGAAACACAGAGATGCCTCGTTAGGAAACACAGAGACGCCTCGTTAGGAAACACCGAGACGCCTCGTTAGGAAACACAGAGACGCCTCGTTAGGAAACACCGAGACGCCTCGACGAGAATCACCGATGCTTCGATGAGAAACACCGAGACGCCTCGATGAGAAACACCGATGCTTCGATGAGAAACACCGAGACGCCTCGATGAGAAACACAGAGACGCCTCGATGAGAAACACAGAGACGCCTCGACGAGAAACACCGAGACGCCTCGATGAGAAACACCGATGCTTCGATGAGAAACATCGAGACGCCTCGTTAGGAAACACAGAGACGCCTCGACGAGAATCACCGAGACGCCTCGACGAGAAACACCGAGACGCCTCGATGAGAAACACCGATGCTTCGATGAAAAACACCGAGACGCCTCGATGAGAAACACCGATGCTTCGATGAGAAACACCGATGCTTCGATGAGAAACACCGAGATGCTTGGATGAAAACCAAAGATCTTCTCACGACTGAATCCTCAAAGAAAAAAGGCTGAAATCCGACTTCCAGAAACACCAGAAACTGAAGACCGTCGTTATTTATTGGCCAGTTAATTGTTAAGGAATGTGTTTTTGATACTCTGGATCTGATCCGGTTTTTAAAAGAAAAGTCCTTCAGCTGATTTTTTGATATCGCTTTAACGGTTTACATTTCCTCCCCGCTGTTCGTGTCGTGGTGTGAAGACACTGAATCAGAGATATGTGTATCGTAAAGGTTGAAGTAAAAACGAAAGAAAATGTGATCTGCTTCGTGTTTTCATGCGTCATCTATCGAGTGAGTTTTAAAAGCTTTATCCTGGAGTCAAATGTCGATTATCTCACATCTCTGGCACTCGTGGTTACAAACAGATCAACGTTATACGAGTTTCTAAAGGGTGAATCTGCAATGAATGACAGGAAGAAACGTATCTTGAATGCAACCCGTCAAAATGCAAAATCTGTTGCCTTTTTAACCTTATCCATACTGAAGCCACTGAGGGATGGGAACGGGAGAACTAAGTTCAGACGCGTGTTCCAGATGACAAAACAATGTCCATACGAGTGTATATCTTTCAGTCCATCGATCCATTTATTTTGCTGTCCATATTGCCTTTCTGTTATCATTCAGATACCAATATATCCACGCCAGTCACGCTGAATACAAACGGGTTTAACACACAGCTCATATCGACACGGCTTCTGCCTGCTCCCGTCCCACACCGGCATCTGATCGCCCAGGAGTTCAAAACTTCTAATCCCTATCTGATCGGATCAGATTTAGATTATGGGGAGTTCAAAACCAAAAAAAAGGATTAGGATCACTTTGATATCCGATCAGATCAGGAAATCAAATCCAAGCTTTAATCTGGATCAAATCTTCAAAACGGGTAGTTCCAACCGACCACACAGGAAACTGGATTATCCTGATCCCACCAGAGGGGTGGGTTTCCAGTGGATTACCAGAGCGAAATGTACTGTACAATTTATTAATGTTTCAATATAAATAAGATGACCATAGGTGAGGGTAGGAACGAAAATGGCCCGGTAGACAGAGCTTTGCCTTCTGGCTCAGCTCCCTTTTCGTCACAACGGTGCGGGCCATTTTCGTTCCTACCCTCACCTATGGTCATGAAGGATGGGTCATGACCGAAAGAACCAGATCGCAGATACAAGCGGTCGAGATGGGTTTTCTCCGCAGGGTGGCTGGTGTCTCCCTTAGGGATAAGGTGAGAAGTTCGGTCATCAGGGAGGGACTCTGAGTTGAGCCGCTCCTCCTTCGCGTCGAAAGGAGCCAGTTGAGGTGGTTCGGGCACGTAGTTAGGATGCCACCTGGGCGCCTCCCTAGGGAGGTGTTCCAGGCACGTCCAGCTGGGAAGAGACCAAGGGGTAGACCTAGGACCAGGTGGAGGGATTATATCTCTTCGCTGGCCTGGGAGCGCCTTGGGATCCCCCAGTCAGAGCTGGTTGATAGGAAAGGGACGTTTGGGGCTCTCTGCTGGAACTGCTACCCCCGAGACCCGACCACGGATAAGGGGAGAAGATGGGTGGATAAATAATGGCAAAGTTTGTTAACTGAAATAATACACAATTTTTAGCCTTCATTGCAAATCAATTTTATTTTTCGGTCACGTTTGTGGTGGCCTATTTTGTTTTCAACCAAATGTTGACATAAATGTTTATGCTCATAAAAGTATCACAACAAAGATTGTCAATAACAAATGTATTTTAGATTAAAGAAAAAATATCTTCAACAAAAAAAAAGTCCATCATCTGTCATCACCTTTCAAAAGTAAGTGCGGACAATAGAAGTCTCTGCAATGTGGTCTCTTGTCTTCCTTGTATTACTTTTCATGTCCACTAGATGGAGGTCGGTGGGATTAAAGCACTGATATTCAGGATCTAGTCATCTTGAAAAGTCGTAATCTGGATCAGGCTGATCCTGAATTGCTTTGAAATACTGGGACACAATCTGGCCTTGTCTGATCCTGGATCACAAAAAATGGGATTTCAAAATCTGATCTGATTGAGATTAAAAGTGTTGAACTACTGGGCCCAGTGATTACATTTATACACACTCACAAGCGAATACTCCATCTTGTGTTCATTGTTGGAACTGCATCATTCATTAAACCTGTGCAGATAAATACGAACAAAGACACGTGCATTATGGCTCCAACAACATGTAGATCTTTTGTGAAATGACTGCAAATGAGACGGCTCATTAAAGTCATTGTTGGTAAATATAAATAAATGACGGAGCCAGTGGATAAAGTTCAGAGAATAATAATCTGATTTAATGTTATTATTGTTCCTATAGAGAGGTGCAGGAATGAGTCCTAAAACCTGGGAATGAGTCAACATTCCTGTCCCCTGGTCTGGAAGTCAATGGTTGTCTGAAATGTTTTTGGTTGTTAGTCTGAAATAAGGTCTGTGAACACAAGCGGAAGAGACTTAAAAACAAAAGTGTTCTACAACATAAAATATGGATTGGTAAACTGGGCTGCTCTGTTGTGATTGGTCAACCTGCTTAGAGAGATGCCCCGCCCCCTTTGCCTGTCACGTACAATGTGTTGTGGAGTGTTAGCCAATAGGAGGGTTACATAGAGATGATGTCACTGGAAGTAAACAATGGAGGCGTTTCAAGCCGGAGGGGGGAGAGGAACACAAGAGATTTTAGCCTCTGCAGACCATTTACATGCACTCAAACCTATAGGAGAGGGAACACCCAACACATATAATACTATAATAGAGCCTCTTTAAAGAATCGTTCCTTTAAGGGAGGATTTATTTTATAGTTCTGTTGAACTCTGACTTTCTGAGTTCTTTGAGGTTTGTTGATGTTTGTCATTTAAAAACAGGGATTTTTGCCTCTGCAGACCATTTACATGCACTCAAACCTATCGAACACACTTCAGGAAATAGAAAACCTCTTAAATATAATATAATAGAACCTCATTAGAGACTCATTCCTTTAAGGGAGGATTTATTTGATAGTTCTGTTGAATTCTGAGTTCTTCTTTGAGGTTAATGTTGAAGTTCGTCATTTGAAGAGCTTCTGGTCGGGGTCCGGCTGCACGAAGCAGATTTCCTCCACAGTGGATCCCGAATCCTCCGTCCAGCAGCTGTTGTTGCAGGTGAACACCAGCACCGTCCCAAACTCCACCTCCACTTCCTCCTCTTCCTCCTTCTCCCTCCTCTTCCTCCCCCTCAGAAGACTCACCAGAGCGGGCATCAGCTGCATCTCAAACGTCCGTTCCCCACCACAGGAGCCACATCTCGGCACCTGCATGTTTTCCGGCGGCTGTGAGATGAAGAGAGGTTTTCCTCGCCGGCTGTAGCGCAGAATCTGCTGCGGACAGAGCGAGATCTTCTTCATGAAGCGAGAGAAAACGGCGTCTCCGTGTCTGGCTTTCGTCTTCTCGTATTTCTCCTCACCTCCGCCTCCATCTTCGTCCTCCATCTGCCCCGCGGAAACCCCCTCCCTCCTCTCGTATTCCCGCAGAAGCTTCTGAGCGTGATGCAGCTCGTCTTCCTCCCCGCAAAGCTCAGATTCCTCCGCCACGCTGATGAAGAACGAGCGGAGTTCGGGAACGTTTTCCTCAGGAACGTCGTCTCCGAGGGTCAGGTCCTGAAGGCCGAGGCTCACGTGCATCTCTCCGGCGGCTGGAAGGAGAATGAACACGTGTCAGAAAACAAAACCCTCTCTTTTCCTCCGTACCCACTAGGGCTGTCCCGAATACCATTTTTCGGGGTTCCGGATATTCGGTAGTAATCAGCAGCGAATATTCGTTCCGCGCAGGGGAGGGGGGGGTGCGTAGTAATCAGCAGCGAACCGCTTCAACACGTGCATTTCAGTTTATTCACGGCATTCATTTTGTTATTCTACAGTATTGTTGTTTTATAGTTATTTGTTGATGTAACCCAATTTGTGTTCTTTGAAATTGAAAAGGATATGGCATCGTGTTTGTTACTGTCGTTGCAGTTGTATATGTCTTAACTGTAATTTGGCTTGCCTTACAATTTTGTATGGACATGCTTTTATTTTGAAGGAGAGTTAGCGCAGTTGACAGGAAGTTGTTGTTGCTATGGAAACAATGTGACGGAGATTAACGGAGAAAAGTCATATCTACATATAAAGACGGAGAAAGTAAACGATAACGTTTATGGTTAAGTGTTAGCACCCCCCGAAGAGACATAAGCTCTTACGTTGATATTGGAGATTTCAATTAATTCAACAAAAAAAAACGAATATCCGAATAACGAAATTGAAACCCGAATAGTACTCCAACGAACGTACAGCCCTAGTACCCACATCTCTAAAAACGGGGGAACAACGGAGCTGATCCAGATTTGCTGCATCATGACGACATTACTCAAATGTGGGCGGGCTTTACCCCCACGGGCCAATCAGAAACGTTGCTGTCAGAAACAACGAGACGTGTTCTGGACGTAATATGGTCTGAGAATCAGCACTTTAGTAACAGGGCTGGAGTAGAGGGATATGAGCGATTAAGTCTTTACCTTCTTCCTGAGGAGCTGCTTCCTCCTCTTGCACCTGGCTCTCCTTCCTCCCACCTCCACTCTCCTCCTCTTCCTCCTCTTCTTCCTCCCCCCAGTCCTCAGCGGTGTCGCACCACTCTGAGGCGGCTGGAGCCTCTTGAATCGGAGCCTTTCTGCAGGAAGTCTCCTCCGGACGCTGGGAGCGAATCACCCTCCAGGTTTCTGAACTGCTGCTGCACCCTGAACACAGAGAGAGGAGTACCAAGTACATTTACTCAAGTACTGTACTTTTTGAGGTACTTGTACTTTACTTGAATATTTCCATTTTAGGATACTGTGTACTTTTCCTCCACTACATGTATTAATACCTTCAGTTACTTCACAGATGTGGATGAATGATGTGAAATATAACCAAGTGTTGAATCAGACTTTAGTTCCACCTGGAGTAAATCCACCAGCTACCCTGCAGTATACAAAGTCATTCAAACTAGCTGCACCTTCACCAGCTTTGAGAACACTTTCATGATCAATCATTATAAAACATATCATATATATTATTCTGAAATGGACCAATCTGCACAACGACTACTTTTACTGTCTTTCACTATATTTAGATGAGAATACTTTTCTACTTTCATTTGAGGAACATTTTTAATGCAGGACTTTTACTGTAACGGAGTATTCCTACACTCTGGTACTTCTACTTTTACTCAAGTACAAGATCAGAGTACTTCTACTTTTACTCAAGTACAAGATCTGAGTACTTCTACTTTTACTACAAGATCTGAGTACTTCTACTTTTACTCAAGTACAGGATCTGAGTACTTCTACTTTTACTCAAGTACAAGATCTGAGTACTTCTACTTTTACTCAAGTACAGGATCTGAGTACTTCTACTTTTACTCAAGTACAAGATCTGAGTACTTCTACTTTTACTCAAGTACAAGATCTGAGTACTTCTACTTTTACTACAAGATCTGAGTACTTCTACTTTTACTCGAGTACAAGATCTAAGTACTTCTACTTTTACTACAAGATCTGAGTACTTCTACTTTTACTGAAGTACAACGAGTACTTCTTCCACCCTGTACCTGTGCACGCGAACAGGTAAAGTGTCCTGTGGTGGGGGGGGCAGATGTGCACGGGGCAGTACACTTGCACGACGTGGGCTAACGGGGCTCCGCAGCGCGCGCAACGGGGAGCCTGTCGCTCCGGGTCCGGAAGCATCCAGTCCGGTTTCCCCCCCAGCTTGTTGGTTATGAACGAGGCTCGGTACCGCTCCGGGTCCAGATCCCCGTCACTCAGTCCCAGCAGAACCACCTCCATCACACACGCGTTACACACCGGAAGTGAGAGGAACAGGGTCCGTCATCAAAACAACTCCGTGTGCAGAGGGAGGCTCTTCACAACACTGTCTATAACACCTCTTGTTGTTAAATTCTGATTTCACGGAGAAATCAACCTGAAACACATTTGGTGGTTCATTTGACTTAATAATAAAGTTAAGGAGGTTTCTTTTAAATATTACACACAATACCCTGCAAAGATTGATACTTGATATTGAATATTCCTGTACTTTTTGTGATAAAGAAGTAACTAAAGAAAGTGTTTGACATATTCTATGAATGCAAGTAGTCGTGTATACTTAATATTGGGAGTCAAGTCGTTAGTGTGTTTAGTATGAGGCCGTGTAATAAGCGGGATAAGAGTGTAATTAAAGTCAGATGCATTCGTGTCTAAGAAGGGCAGTGATATCATAAGCAGCTGTTCTTCCTGCTCTTCGCAGCTGAAGCTGTGTGGCTTTTATCCTGGATTAAGTGTTGGATGTTTAAAATGTAACTTCAACACGATGAACTCTTCGTTCATGAAGTATGACGCTCCACTGTCAGGCGCTTCTCCGTGTTTCTGATTGGTCAGATGCGGCTAACCCCACCCCTTTCCTGTGATTGGCTCATAGCCGGATGGAGCAACCCGGGGTTGATTTACCGAGTTGATAACCAGCCTCGTAGGACCGCTTCGTGTTTGTTAGAGTTAGTGAATCCAGATAACTCAAAGATGTCCCGGGTATGTTGACCTGCCTTCGTCGTACAGGACTCAGGAGTAAATGCACGAGCAGAAACGGTACTTTTGGGTCCAGGTTACGTCAAAGAAGCCGTAAGTAAGAGGTCCGTCATCATAACATTTCCGCCAGCTGAGTGGCCTTTTGTCTTGTAAAACGCACGTGCACTCTTTTAAATAAGGTGTAAACAGTCGATAGAACTCTAATTGTATTGTAGAATATGTATATATTATGATATACACGTAACAAGGCGTTACAAATGTAACAATTATTCGTAAAACAACTACAGTGAGAAAGGTTCCTACCAGAACACGAGTAGTACCCATAGACTGTATATATAAAGGTGGTACCCCTCATATTATATCTTATATTATTAATATATATATAATTCTGACGTCTGTGGTTATTTAAACATTCCCTGATAAACGTTATTTCAGCGTCAATAAATGAGTGTTTAGTGTACAACATCACATGTTATTTCACCTTCAATTCACGGTTTTCAAAACGTTAGCCACATGCTAATGCTAACCGGAAATGAAGAATTTTCTGAATAAAAGTGTTAAGTTAATAGTTAATGTGAACTTCCGGGGTTTTTCTAAATAAAAGTGCTTTAAATTAAAACCGTGTATTTCATTTAAATTACGTCATATCAACATTGATTTTAATTTCTTACAGTAGGAGAGGTTTTGGGGTTTGGGAGGAAGGAAGGAAGCAGTGACGTCATATCCGTTGAAGTGTTCGTGATTTTAAAATAAAGGGAACACGTTTTTGAAATCCATTACATGGGCCTTTAAATCTTCATTACTGTAAATATATATAATACTGAATTATAATGTGTTCATCTCTGAAGGTGAGAAAAACAATATCATTCATGATTCATATGTTTTGAACTGTAGTGTGTATGCAAATCTACACACACACACACACACACACACACACACACACACACACACACACACACACACACACACACTACTTCAAGCAGCTGCTGAATCCACACACAGAACAATAATTTTAATCAACAAAACCTGTGTTTTCTGCTTCACTTTCAGGATAAATGGCTTCCAGTTTCGAGGAAGGTTTCAGATGCTCTGTCTGCCATGAAGTCTTTAGAGATCCTGTCGTCCTGTCCTGCAGCCACAGCTTCTGTAGAGACTGTCTGCAGAGCTGGTGGACGGAGAAAGTGATCAAAGAGTGTCCACTTTGTAAGAGACGATCTTCACGGTCAGAGCCTCCTTCTAACCTGGTGCTAAAGAACCTGTGTGAGAGTTTCCTACAGGAGAGAGATCAGAGATCTCCAGAGGCTCTCTGCAGTCTGCACTCTGAGAAACTCAAACTCTTCTGTCTGGACCATCAGCAGCCAGTGTGTGTCGTCTGCAGAGATTCAAGAACACACACCAACCACAGATTCAGACCCATCGATGAAGCTGCTCAGGATCTCAGAGAGGAGCTCCGGACATCTCTGCAGCCCTTCAAGAAGAAACTGAAGCTCTTTGAAGAAGTTAAAGAGGACTTTGATCAAACAGCAGGACACCTGAAGCTCCAGGCTCAACGCACAGAGACGCAGATTAAGGAGCAGTTTCAGAAGCTTCACCAGTTTCTAGAAGAGGAAGAGGAGGCCAGGATGGCTGCACTGAGGGAGGAAGAGGAGCAGAAGAGGAGGGTGATGGAGGCTGTGAGCAGAGAGATAGCAGCTCTTTCACACACAGTCAGAGCCACAGAGGAGGAGCTGAGAGCTGAAGACGTCTCCTTCCTGCTCAACTACAAGGCTGCAGTGGAGAGGCTGCAGCGCCCCCTGCTAGAGGCTCCACAGCTGCCCTCAGGAGCTCTGATAGACCAGGCCAAACACCTGGGCAACCTCAGCTCCAACATCTTCAGCAAGATGAAGGACATGGTGTCCTACTCTCCTCTCATCCTGAACCCAAACACTGCTGGTCCAAACCTCACCCTGTCTGAAGATCTGACCTCTGTGAGACCAAGAGAGGAGGAACAGGAACTTCCTTATAATCCAGAGAGGTTTATCGGTGCTTTCTGCTCTGAGGGCTTTGACTCAGGGACTCACAGCTGGGACGTCCAGTTTAGAGACCGTAAAGATTGGAGCTGGGAGTGATGGCAGAGTCTGTCGACAGGAAGGCAGACTTACGGTTTGGTTCATGGACAATATGGTTCAGTGAGGGTGAATGTTATGCACTCTCCCCACCAGATGGAAGTGTTGTTCTCCCATTAGAGAAGAAGCTCCGGAGGGTCAGAGTGAATCTGGACTGGAACAGAGGAAAGTTGTCGGTCTCTGATCCTGACACTAACACACACACATACACACACACCTTCACACACACTTTCACTGAGAGGGTGTTTCCATACATTAACAATGAGGATACTGCAGATGTTACCAGTGACGGTCTCTGTGAGGGTAGAACAACAGGAATAGATGTGGTTACACACATTACTGATGTAAAATCATTAGAATTATTAACTCAAAAGAAGTTGTTACAATTTGTATTATGCCCTTTTACATGTATGGCGCTACGGCAAGATGTTTGATTATATCTTCAAAGTGACGTCTCTGTATTTGAACAGCAGGTAACCCTTTGAATGTCATTGATTTGTTCCTTGATATACAATGTTTTATTTTTACATGATGTGTCCATTGTTAATCATTAGAGCTTAGATGATTCTCAACTGGAAAATAAAGTGTTAAAGTCTACTCTGTATGAATGTTTCATGCTTCACGGTTGTAGAAAGTCCTCTTGTTGAATATGAACAGATTAAATCGGCAGTCTTTGGTAAAAGAGAAATACAGCTTGGCATCAAAAAGTGTGCACAATGTCTCTAACAAACTGAACGAACATCAATGTGTTGCAGAAGGTAAGTCTAGAGTTAGCTCTGTTAGCAGCTGAGCATAATATGAAGTGCTAGTTTAATAAAAAACATAGTTAGAATATTTTAAAGAAAAGTTATATGTAATAATTAGAGAAAAAAAAATATTGATAGCCTAAGAAGTTAAACATTTAAATATCAGCTAAACATACTGACTGATGGTTTAGTGAAAATCTTTCTGGGAAAAGTCATAATCAAAGTAATGGATTAACAGGTGCAAGCTAAAGGTAATTAATTAATGTTCAGAGTAGTTAGCTAAGACTACAGTGATTCTCAAATGGGGGTACGCGGACCCCCGGGGGTACTGCAGGGGGTACGTGACATTAAAAAAAAAAGGTTAATTAAAAAAATAATCTTAGTCAAATAAGTTAAATAGAAAACACAATTTTATATAAAACATTCCGAGAACCACCAAGGGGGTCCTCATATAAACATGTCAAATGTGTGTATTGTATTGTATAGTTTTTCAGAATAACATATTACTTAAATTTATAAAACAATCTTATGTTATTTTTTTTCATGCATAAAATGAAAATATCCTTAGTTTGTTGTAATGCATACCACGAAGGAGTTAATACATCACACACTGAGGGAACATCACTATATTGTAATTATTTATATAGGCTTTTTCGATCAAAAATGTTCGGGATCGGTCAGGAGGTACTTGGCTGAGAAAATGTTTCAAAGGGGGTACATTACTGGAAAAAGTTTGAGAAGCACTGTACTAGACAGTTGAAACAGTTAGCTAACATTTAGCAGTTAAAACAGTTAGCATTATTAGCTAACGGTATGGATAAACCGTTTCACTTGTTAGTTAAAGATAATTAGACAAACAGTTGAAATAGTTAGCTAAAAGTAATACCCTGCAGCTGAAACAGTTAGTCTGTTATTAGCTAAGTTAGGTAAAAGTAATACTCAAAACTGATTGCTAAATATTAGCTAAAGGTACTGAATAAACAGTTACATGATTAACGTTCAGAGAAGTTAGCTAAGATAATTAGACAAACAGTTGAAACAGGTAGCTCATTATTAGCTTAAGGCACGGTAAGCTAATAGTTAGCTAAAGGCAATACAGAGCTCTAACAAGCCGTTTAGGACAGAGAGTGAATACACATACTTTACAGAGATGCTGTATGAGAAACCAATGTGATTTTGGAAAATTGCACAGTATAAATCTATTTTAGTAGACCTCAACAATGGAATTATGATTAGTAGAAATGGCCACGACATGTGACCTTTAAGTACAGCTGAAACAGTTAGCCTGTTATTAGCTAAAGGTATGGATACACTGTTGAAAGCTAATAGCATATAGACAGTTAGGTACTACTCAAAGTTAGGTAAAAGTAATACTCAAAACTGTTTGCTAAATATTAGCTAAAGGTACTGAATAATGTTGGAGCAATGAGGACGGTGGTCTGAAGCCCACCTCGGCTCCACGCGTTCCTTGATGAGCTGGTCAAATTATAAAAGAAGGAATTCGAAACACCAGGATAAAGGATAAACAATAATCTGTTTTAATGGTAAACAAACAACAATACAAAATAAGGAGTACTCCTGCTCTGTTCCTAGTGCTGGGAGATCTTACTATCTTGGCAGCAGGAGGAAAAAGAGACCGCACACAAAGACACAACAGGGCTATATGTAATCCCAACGGGAGGAGTTGTGTTGGATGCTCCTCCC